GGCGAATTTTTCTTTCCTTCTGCTCTTTTTCTCTCTCTCTCTCTCTTTTTTTTTTATACGGTTACCGAGGATACACTTTGTTCCTCCACAAAAGGTTTCAATTAAAGAAGTTACTCGGCGCGGTGAAAAATGTCTAGTCGCGGTTACGCGAGACCGTATAGCTTTACAAATGTGCATTACGCTGCTCTCTGCGAGTGCATGGCAAATGCACACCGAGAGACCACTATATTCGAGCACGCGTTACACGCTGCAAGTACACGTGTATCACGTCCTGTATGCGGCGGGATGTGGGCCAATGGCGTCGGGCACAAGGGCGATGTTATTTGATTATCGCGCCCTCGGCGTTGCCCCGCTCCGTCGCGCTCTCCATACTCGGCTAAACAAAGGACGCGCGACGACGAACGACGAGAAATCATTACCGAGAGAGAACAAACTCGTGTCCAAGGTAGCCGACGTCCTTGCGCCTCGCCGATATGTAAAATGCATTCCCGGCGCGTCGCGTCGCCAAGTATGCGCGACGACGTTTGCAACCTTTCCGTCTATACGTATTGAATTTCTCGTCGCGGAAACGAAATAAAGGAGAGGGGGAAAAAAGGCGATCGATGATAGCAACATTGGATCATATTAGGCGTTCCTATTACGTCAACTATTATAGCCACGATCGAGAATGAAAATTAATGGCCAAAGTTTGCTCGGCAAATTTCGCGCTGCTTCTTGAGATAATCGAGCAAAGAGAGGAGACATTCCCACGCCAGTGCGCCGCGCGCTGTAAAGCAGGTAATAATGCCTGGCTTGTCCAGTCTCATTAATTAATCCTCCACCGTGGAGGAGAGGAAAAAGAAACGTCGACGAGGCGAGGCGAACAGACGGAGGGAAAAGAGCGGAGAAAAAGAGAGAGATGGAACGATCCTTCCTCGGGATATCTGGTCTCGGGCCTGATCCATAAATACACTTGGCCGTGTTAATTCCGTGTGCCGACCAAGGGGCCGAGCAACTACCGGTATTAACCGAGTCCACGACACGCGGTTACCCCACGAAGAGTAGTTGGAAGACGCGCGATGCGGCGGAGGAGGGATAATCTCTCGGCCGTCCCACGTTGGCTGCAATTTGTCTTCGGGCGTTGGATAAAACGTCAACGGCGGTGTGTTATTTGTAATTTGGATAACGGTACACCGCTGCCAGAATCGCGGAAGGCATTTGTCAGCCGCAGCTAGAGTCGCAGCTTCGAGGCGAGACACATACATTTGCACGCGCATACACACACACACACGTACACGCAAAATCTAATATTTCGCCAAAAACGCCGCCGCTGATGTCGGCCCGTCTCTTCCACTTTTTTCCACGATCGTGAGGTATTAATCAAAGGTTGCGCGCTCGCTTCTGCTTCTATCGACCGTGTTAACGCCACTCGATGGAGTTGGCGAGAAGTTGCTTAACAATTCGATTAAGGGATAATAACGTAGCGTGTCTACCTCGCGCGAGGAATGACAAAAGGGATTATATTAGAGTTCTGACATTCGAAGAGACGCGATCGCAGCGAGAACGCGTGACGAATTTTTCATATATATTTCGTTCTCGCATATTGATAATTTCAATTAGTAACGCAGTAATCATTCATCGGTCTTTATGTTAATTTTTTTTTTTTTTTTTTTTTTTTATGTATTCGACATATACAATCTGTTAATTATTCCGTCGCGACGATAATTAAAATTGATTCTTCGATGTGTATCGCGGGGAGAGAAGTATATAGTTGTTTGGTACATTTGCATAATGGAAAAGTGTCGGAGCAATAAAATTCCACATTCCATTAAGCTTCGTGTGCGTGAGTGGCGCGGTTAGTAGCGACGGTGATTCGGCATTTAGTTATTTTCAATCTGTGTGTATGTACGCGTGCGTGCATATATATATATATATATATATTCGCCGACGTTCGAGAGTAAAAATATTAACGAGAGTGCTCTCTAACAAAGCGCCCCGTCATCCTCGCAAATCTCCGCGTTGGCGAGAGACTCGTAGGTCTTTCTTCGATAATCGCGCTTCGTCTCTCTTCCGTCACGAATAAAACAGACCGATGATCTCTCGCTCTCCCATCCCGATAACGATTAATTAAAGCAACATCCGTGCCTATATAATATAAGTAAGCGATGATGGTCGACGAGACGAGATTATACAACGAGTTTTTCTACGAGACTCGACGTTTTCGCACGGATGTCGAGGGAATTCGCGTCGCGAGCGTAATTTAGCGAATCTCTCTCGGGCCGTTTCGAAAAGGGATACGCGCGCGCAGAGGAAGCCGGCTCTGTGACCGTCGCGGTCGCCGCGGGTTGAGAGCACCGGCGCGGTTAACCGCGGCAACCGCAGCGACCGGTTCGGCGCGGCACGGAGTGTCTCGCTCGTCGGCGCTTTTCGCGGTATATCGTCCTCTCTCTCTCTCGCGCCGCTCGCATTCCTACGTCTCTCTGCCTCGCGCACGTAGAACGGCGCGTAGAACTCTCTCCTCATCGCGTTTCCTTCCTTCCAATTCTCTCGCGGACGAGCCGCGTCGAGGACACGTATAGAGGTACCTATCCACCAGGTTGCGAGCGAACACGCAAACCGCCAGAGCCGGCGAGGCGAGGCGAGGCGCAGCTTCGCGTAAACCGCAACCGACCAAGCGCGACCGACAGCTTCGCCAACACTCCGCGGCACTGCCTTATATTCCTTCTCGCCCCGTGAAAACAAGATAAAGAGCCCGGCCGGTGTGGACGAAAGAGGGGATTTGACAGATGCAGACTCGCGCTGAATCGCGCAAAAAGCGCGTATATATCCGCGCGGCACAAACGGAGCCGCGCGTGCGCGCGCGCTTCATCGCGTATTTATTATATTTCATTAAGGGGTCGAGTCCTTTCTCTCGTATATATATATACGTGCCGCAGGGGCAAACGTCACGCATACGCGTATACGTGTATTACCCATCCCGCCAAGCATGACAATGGGCTTTTCTAATCCTCCTTCGGATTAAGGGTCGAAAGTGGGTTGCGTTGCACGGTTGCGGGTGAGGCGGAAGAGAGATAAAGAGAGGGAGAGAGAACTGCGGATAATGGGATCGACGTTTCGTTATGTTACTTTTCCATTCTCATCCTCGGCCTCTATACTCTAGTCGTCCTCCTTTCCCGAGAACCCATCCCACGCAACCCCAGACTGCACCCAGCCTTCGGTGTCTCGGTTCGTAGGATCCATCCTACAGCGCCCTCAACCTCCTCCTTCCCTCGTGCTTCTTCCTCCCTCAGGTCCGTGTTTTTCCTCGTGTGGCCCCCTATTTTTCATGTTTCGCTGCGGCTTCGCGTAGCACCTTTATTCAGTATAGGTACGTTCTCGGGGACGAGCATAGAGCGAGAATACGACTCCGCGCGGATCCAACGCGCGGCTGTCGTCTGAAAAAGTCGGCGCGCGATTGGCCGAGGTCGCGTTTTCATTCGACTCTTTGCCATCGCCGACTCGATCGGCTACATCAAACGCGCCGCGATTGGCCAAGTGTCGGCTGGAGCGACGTGGATTGGTCCAGGGTGCGCCGCGCAGTCCGCGCGGAGTCATCGCCTTTACGAGGCGAGCGGACGATAGCGGCAATCAAGTAGGAAACTGCTTGGGACTGTGTGCCGCGCGATATTCACATAGGGGCACCCCCTTAGCACACACAATCGCGCGTACAGGATGGTACTCGCTATACACTCGCATACACACGTACAGGGCCGCGCACGCACGGCGTGTACGTGTATCCTCCCCTCCCTCCCTCCCTCTCTCTCTCTCTCGCTCTCTCGCTCTGTCGCTTTATGCAGCTACGTTGTATAGGGGTTGGGAAAACGGGTGGAGGCGCCATATTTGTGGTAGTGTGGGAAGTGAGGGAAATCACGAGTGGCGAGAGAGGCAGTCGGTCGACAAGCGGGGAAACGAGGCACGGGGAAAAGCGCGGCGGAAAGGGTGGGGACGAGGGGGAGAGGGAGTTTACGCGGACATCCGTGTCAGCCCGGTGACGGCCATTTTGCGAAAAACTTTCGATTTGTTTGCACACGCCGTAGCGAACCCGGAGGAACGACTAATACCGACGCGTATGCCTCTCTCTCTCTCTCTCTTCTCGTCCCTGTCGTATTCGTCAACGACCGAAAACTTTTCGGATGGACCAGCAGCGCGTTCCTCCGCTCGAGACTCGCAAAAATCCAAATCGGTCTACGACCAAAGTACTCTCGTATCGGCGCGAATAATGACGCGACGCGAGCTCCGACTTTTTTATTCTCCCTCTCTGTCTCGCTTACGAGATTGATACGCCAAATTGCTCAGATTCCAAAGACGATCGAGCGCAAATATTATTTGCACGCAATTTTGCTGTTCGACGCTGTCGTCACTGTCAGTATCGAGGCGATAATGCCTTCGGCGCAATGGAAAAAAACGGACGGCCGGTAATCAACGTCGATAAACCGACGATGAGAGAGAGAGAGAGAGTCACTTTTTTTATGTGTACACTCGCGGAAAGGACAAATCGGGAGCACGATGTTACGTTTCGCAACGTTGTTGTAAAGTCAAAGTGCCGCCGAATGTCGGTCAGCGAAACGATAAAATCGGGACGCTTAATGACGATATAATTCCATTTTGCTCCGGAATTGCCATTCATCGCTCGTCGGCTGAGCGAGCGACGCGTAAAGACGATCGAAAATCATCTCGTCGCGATGAGGCTCGATGAAACGCATCGAGCGTACATAACAATTGTAGCTTCGCGAAAGAGAAAGAGAGATGGATTTGGTAAGAGGAACACGTAGAGCAACGTTTTAACGAGCCGTGATTTTCGTGCTCGCCTTTTCAAGATCCTTACGTAACGCGACTTAATTGCGAAGGAGCTATCGCGCCGGTTAATACAAGCGTGGAGGAGACATTCGAGGGGGATGCTTGGCGGCTTTAAACGCAGAGTAGCGGGGTCGCGCCATAGCGAGCGACAGAGAGAGAGAGAGCGCGAGACGACGAAGGGGCGAAGAATGACGGGAGGGAGTGCAGTAGGGGATAGAGCGGCGGAGAGAGAGCCGGCGCGGCGGCAACAAAGTGGTGGGGAATCTCGCGATCTCTCTCCTCTATCGGTCTGTCCACCAGTCGCTTCGTAGCCGTTATCGCGACAGGTTCGTCGGTGTGTTTGCGCGCGCTTTTCGCGACGCTAACGTCGAGAATCTCTTTGCGCGACGAGAAAACTAGGAGCGGAACGAGTAGCTTTGTCGAGAAGAGAGAGAGAGAGAGTGAGTGCGAGAGTGTCGTCGTTTTTCGAAGCGACTTTCGGAGAAACCGTTTGCGCGCGCGCGCGCGCGCGTCTCGCGCTTCGAGTAAACAACGAAGAATGTGTGCGGTGTAACGTATCCAGCGAGAAGAAGTAAATATAGATCCGTAATAACCGTGGTTCCGCGCCGCGGGGGTGTGGCGAGGGGACGGTAGAAAATATTATCTCTCGGCCGGTCTTTCTTCTTCCGGTATACACGTCAACGCGCGCGCGAGAGAGAGAGAGAGAGACGGCGGCTGCTGCAATTTTTCCTGCCTTACCGACCGAAAAAAAAGGGCACGCCGCGTCGGACACAAAGGAGATCGTTGCTCCTGCTCGCGAATTCTTCTCCCGGATGAACGCGTAACGTGGGCCACCCACCCCGGCGAACCCGCGTCGAGTTAGCCGCGCACCGATGACACGGTAGGGACGGATGGATCGGTGGATACCGCAGATGGATTTTCGACGAGGAAACGGGGTGTCGAGGATCACGTTAACGACGCGTCGTGGGACGACGACACGTCACCGCCAACGATCGGCTTCGTAGCGTATCCGAGTCTTTCCCGTCGTCTTTTTTTTCCGCTTGTTGCTGTTGTGTTGTTTGTTATTGTTATTGTTCGAGGAGTATACTTGTCGCCGTCGGCCGGATAAAAGAGTGGATCGGCGCGAGATGACGCGTCTCGGCGCGCTTTGAATATATAAAAGTGGGCGCAAATCGCCGCAGTGCAACGTGTGTGTGCATGTGTGATAGATATAGATATACGTAAATAAAAGTTGTGAACTCTCGCTAAAGCGGGAAATCACGCAGGAAGGATGTATCCCAGCGCCGGAATCAACGCAGCCGCCGTGGCCGCCGCCGCTGCCAGGCATCCGGTGAGTTAGCGATTGCTCAATTATCAATAACGATAATAATAGCCTGTTTATTTATTCCCCGGGTATCAACAATGGCATTCGCCGGATAAACCGCGCGGTTCTGTGTGCGTTACGATTAAATAGCTAAAAGCTCCAATTTAATCGATGCTCAATTTTCTCAGACCCGAGCAAATTATGTCAGAGAGAAAGAGATAGTATACTTAACGAGAAAGAGTCACTCCGCTCCGGCTCGAGAATGCGATAACGATATACGTATATCGATGACGAGGCGGATATTTCGGTGAGAGAGACGATCGTATCTCGCGACGAATTGCTCGCTTCTCAATTTTAGCCGGAGAGTTGGAAAGTTGTTTTTTACGCGCTTCCGCAGATATCGCGATATTGATATACGCGAACGTTTCGCTCGCTCCGCGAAATGGCCGCTTCGGTCGCGCGCAGCGCGGTGTTTCTTTCTCTCTCGCTCCTTTTTTTCCCCGAGCGACCGCTACCGAACCTCCGGTCTATTTTACAGCACGTTGCATACTTAATGTACCGCCGCGTCGCGACTTGCCGCGCCGCGCCGGCGCGGACCGGCGCGCGACGATCTGATTTACGTTCGTAATTTACATCGTTGTTAACCCTGTTTAACCTCGTCCTTGATCGCGCGCTTCCGCGCGGTCGACTCTCGTGCTATTTTCAATTGTCGTTTCTTTTTTTTATTTTTCAAGAAATAGAACGCGATTACATCATATCGTAACGTCGTATAAGGCTGACGCACTCGCGAGAGCACTTTTTTTTTTTTTTTTTTTTTTCGCCGATGCGCGGTCTCACGCTCGATTGCTCTCCCGTTACTTCGAACCAGGGCGATTTGCACCTCGTAACGCGACCCGTCCTCGATTCCGGAGCGAAACTTCTCGAGTTTCGGTCTGTCGAGGACGCGCTAATACGCGATCCAGCAGAAACGCGCGCTCTGCGTGTCGGGTTTCTCGCGCTAAAATTTCATTAATGCGCAACGAGGAAAATCGTACATACATATATACGTCGTCCGCGATAATAACCCGGCCACGTGTACACGTGTGCGGTCGCACACGTGTTGCGAAACCCTTCTCTCTCCGAGATATCGAGCTACACCGATAAAAGTAAGAGTATCGGGTGTGTATTTAAATTTGTGTACGTGTATCGACGCGAAATTCGGGCGATACGAAACAATCGCGCGGAACTATCGCATTCGCCATCGTCCTCCGACATTAGCTTCGCGGCCGTGGCGAAAAGCGTTTCGCCACGCTACGTCGGAGTCGTTGATCCGTGAATCGAGAGGCGAGCAGCGGCGTTGTCCGCGTTTAATGGTCTGGTCGAGATAATATGGCGACTTAGTCGTCGTCGTCGTCGTCGTCGACTCATCATCATCCACCGCGAGACTCCGTCCGAGTCCGGGAATCGTTGCGTAGTCCCGTCACGTTCGTCGTTTCTCGACTCCCTCTCTCTTTCTCTCTTGTACAATCGACTGTGTCGCCGGCTATTACACAGGATATTAACGCCTCCTTTTTTTTTCTTTTCATCGCGACGCAACTCTTTCCTGCTAAAAACCCGCAACGACGCGCTCGGCGTAGAATGCCGCGCGGACAAACAATTTTTTCGCGGATACTTCCCGCGCGTTAATCGAATCGAGTTACGAATGCGAAACGTGACTCGTAGAAAAAGACATTCGTACGTATAATATTTATCGGTCATTGTCAAACGATAATCGCCGTGGCGTGCGACAACAAAAGTCAAACGTCGCTTTATTCTCGGTGTCGTTAGCCCGAGAGAACAGGCCCACGACGGTGTAACATAATGAGAACCCCAAAGAAAGGCTCAACCCTAATAGCAATAATAATAATAGGCATTTATGACCGGATGTGGCCAGGTAACTGAGGTAGCACGTGATAGACGTGAACACAAAGATATGGAAAAGTGAAAAGGTCGGTTTAAAGTCTGTCACGTGTTAAGGGGTGCCTTGTAATATATTTAAGACACATGTACATATAGTGACATTTTTCTTCGGCTTAAATTCTCAATGTATATATCCTGTCCCATTAAAAGTTATGGTATACCTACTAATGTGTCAAGTTTTGCGCTTCTTATATATATATATTCCTATCGTTTCCTATTAAACACGAAATACTCAGATGTATTTGATGCTCTCTTCTGTGCAACCTACTAACAATAAGAAAATGATATTTATGTATATATTTTCTATTCGCAGCTTGAAAGTTTGGGTCTGTTTTGAAAATGTTTTAGCACGTAATATTATACATAGGGCTAAAGAGTAGATAGGAACGATGGGGCGAATGTGAGCGACGATCCGTAACTAGCGGGGAACGGACGGTGCGAAGCGCTGACGTTAGTTAGTAGGGTACACGTTGCGAATGTCAACGGGCGGGTGGACGGCGTTACACGCGTACACACGCGCGCATTAGACCGGACCTCGTCGTCGCGTCGGGTTTACTACCTCCTGTAAACTGCACGGCGCACGTTTGCGCAGGACCCCCGATTCGGTAAATATTGATACTTTTAATCGGTCTGTTTGCTCCGACACGCTGTTCAAATGCGTCTGAATGTGCGCAGCTGAAAAACTCGCTTGCGCGCTCGTCAGCGCTCTTCGGCGTGTAAACCGATCGTAGACTCCTTCGCGCGTCTTTTACATATATATATTTTTTTTTTTTTTTTTTAAATTTATTCTCAACGCGACGCGTCCGTATATAGTGTATACCGCTTAATTAGTAATATGTTAATTTTCGATTGTACGGTCTCTCGCATGTATAAAGAGACGTGTGTAATACAGGAAGCTCTGTATAGTAATTGCTCTTCTACTGGATCGCGCTACTCGTGTTTACCGGATTCTCGAAAATTTCCAAGTGCCAAGAGTCGCGCGCATAACTTTAAATATACCATCTCGTTAAAAATTCAGATTCTTCCGCGCTACCTTGACGGGGTTAATTGAATTTGAATTCCCGCGTGTATATCGGCGATATATATGCAATGTTGAAATTCGACTCGGCGAAATTACAGGGCGCGCGATCGAGCGCGATAAACCGCGAATATTCGAAACGATTCCGTCCGGACTATATCGTCCCGTCTCGGCTCGTGTTAAAATCTCGGATCTCTAAACCAACGGTGGATCGGCGCGCCGCGTTACGCTTCGGCGCGTCGCGCTCGCGGAGCACTCGGAAATATGGAATCACGGTGATATCTTGAGCGTCACGTCGTCCATTATGCCGATGCGGCCAGTAAATTTCACGCATTATACTCCCATTATACGTTTCCTGGCCGAGCCGGATCGCGATCTCGTGCTCTCGCCCGACGTAATTACACGGTGCCGCGCCGCCGAATGGATGGAGGAACTCTGCGGCCGGGATGGGATGTATACGCGCGCATTTGTGTGTTCTTATACATACGTGCAATGTGCGAATGTGTTGCGAGCCGTGCGGTGAGCAGCGACGTGGTTTTAATTTCCACTTTCCTTACCCTGCGCTTTCTCTTTCCCGCGGCCGGTCTCGTCTGGTCTGGTCTGGTCTTATCACGCAATAGCGGCACATCTGCCGATGCTAACGCGTAACGCGCGAGGCGTTTACCGATTTTATCGCGTCTGTATTTACCTTTAGATACAATTACGCGTTAATGTGCGGTGACCGCGTAGGAAGCGGTTTCGCGTGATACACGCAATATCGATGATAGGCCGAGCGTGATGCCTGCTGCCTCTCTCTCTCTCTCCTCCCTTCTCTTTCCCGCCGCGATCAACACGCTCGATATGACGAACAATTTATCCCGTGTCGCTCCGTCTCTTTGCTCGGCGACACGTTTTACCGTGTAATAAATAATAATCGCTGATGCGCGATCCGAAAAAGAGAAGAAGAACGCGTCGCGATGATTAAATATCTCGCTAGACTGTGTTGTAATTATTCCGATTGCCGGCTCTGTTCTTATACAGCCGCTAAAAATTCTAAAGTTCAGTTATTTCGCCGCAGGTAAACTAATGAATCGTACAACTTGATGGATCTCTCTTCCCTGTCTGCTGAAATAATCTTTCGGATGTTATAACGTAAAGTGGAGATATTTCTCGAGACCTTTGAAATTTGTCAAATTGGTCCATTAAAAGATCGAAGGAGAGCCCGACTGATTGTGAGAGCTTTTACGAACCGGTTATCTCTAAGTTAGCTTCCTGTGGCTTTATCTTTTTGTTATCCGAATACATCTGGATAGTCTTTGTTTCATTCTGATCCGAGCTCAAATTACGTAGGCCTTGTGTCCGTAAGCTGAAATAATTTCACACTTAATTATCATGACGTTTTTCTATTCAAAATTAACGTACCGTAAAAGACTTTTCGGCAAAGAAAAGTCAACGTGTCGTCACATTTGTCACGGAAACCATGTTTGAAATAGCATCCAGTTGCGGTTTTACCCTGTATAGGCATAAAGCGGTAAATCCGACCTCTGCAGGTAGATGAAAAGAAAGTCCAAGAGAATTTCGTCGAAAGGTCCCTTCGGCCCTCTCTTCGGACTCATTCGTACGAGAGAATGGCACTAATTGGCGTTAGCCTTGGCAGTTTGTCGTGTTTTTTCCCTCTTCCCGTCTTTTTCTCTTTCCTTCTCCCGTTGTTTCTACATTGTGCAGCACATGGGCGAATGCTCTCGTCTAAGATTTCGCAATGTGTCTTTTTTTCCTTCCTCCTCTTCTTATTCTTTTGTCTTTATCGGTGACGGAAATATTAGGTTTCACTGGATAAACTGTTGACCGAGAGATTATAGATAATGGACTGCAAACTCTACCAAGTCGAGTATTAATGAACTAATCTATATTAAATAGTAAGTAGTTTTCTATTCTTGTGTTATATCATTCATATCGTGGCCTTGTAATTATGCTCGTACAGAGACAAGATAGTATGTTGAATACTTATAGTATTGTCATGTATGAAATAAACTCTTTTAATTAAGTACATATTTTCTTTAAATTATCGATTCATTATGGTTAATTATAAGTC